TCAGGTTGTCCTACAAAGCTGTGGTCATCAAGACAGTGTGGTACTGGTACAAAAACAGACACATAGATCAATGGAACAGAATAGAGAACCCAGAAGTGGACCCTGAACTTTATGGTCAACTAATATACGATAAAGGAGGAAAGACGATCCACTGGAAGAAAGACAGTCTCTTCAATAAATGGTGCTGGGAAAATTGGACATCCACATGCAGAAGAATGAAACTAGGTCACTCTCTTGCACAAAGATAAACTCAAAATGGATGAAAGATCTAAATGTGAGACAAGATTCCATCAAAATCCTAGAGGAGAACACAGGCAACACCCTTTTTGAATTTGGCCACAGTAACTTCTTGCAAGATACATCCACGAATGCAAAAGAAACAAAAGCAAAAATGAACTATTGGGACTTCATCAAGATAAGAAGCTTTTGCACAGCAAAGGATACAGTCAACAAAACTCAAAGACAACCTACAGAATGGGAGAAGATATTTGCAAATAACATATCAGATAAAGGGCTAGTTTCCAAGATCTATAAAGAACTTCTTAAACTCAACAGCAAAGAAACAAACAATCCAATCATGAAATGGGCAAAGGACATGAAGAGAAATCTCACAGAGGAAGACATAGACATGGCCAACAGCACATGAGAAAATGCTCTGCATCACTTGCATCAGGGAAATACAAATCAAAACCACAATGAGATACCACCTCACACCAGTCAGAATGGGGAAAATTAACAAGACAGGAAACCACAAATGTTGGAGAGGATGCGGAGAAAAGGGAACCCTCTTACACTGTTGGTGGGAATGTGAACTGGTGCAGCCACTCTGGAAAACTGTGTGGAGGTTCCTCAGAGAGTTAAAAATAGACCTGCCCTACGACCCAGCAATTGCACTGTTAGGGATTTACCCCAAAGATTCAGATGCAATGAAACGCCGGGACACCTGCACCCCGATGTTTCTAGCAGCCATGTCCACAATAGCCAAACTGTGGAAGGAGCCTCGGTGTCCATCGAAAGATGAATGGATAAAGAAGATGTGGTTATGTATACAATGGAATATTACTCAGCCATTAGAAACGACAAATACCCACCATTTGCTTCGACGTGGATGGAACTGGAGGGTATTATGCTGAGTGAAGTAAGTCAATCGGAGAGGAACAAACAGTGTATGTTCTCATTCATTTGGGGAATATGAATAATAGTGAAAGGGAATATAAGGGAAGGGAGAAGAAATGTGTGGGAAATATCAGAAAGGGAGACAGAACATAAAGACTCCTAACTCTGGGAAACGAACTAGGGGTGGTGGAAGGGGAGGAGGGCGGGGGGTGGGGGTGAATGGGTGACGGGCACTGAGGGGGACACTTGACGGGATGAGCACTGGGTGTTATTCTGTATGTTGGTAAATTGAACACCAGTAAAAATTAATTTATTAAAAAAATAAAATAAAATAAAACAGGTAAGAAGGAAAGAGAGCTATTAGAATAAAGAAATATCACATCTGGGGATCCCTGGGTGGTGCAGCGGTTTGGCGCCTGCCTTTGGCCCAGGGCGCGATCCTGGAGACCCTGGATCGAATCCCACATCGGGCTCCCGGTGCATGGAGCCTGCTTCTCCCTCTGCCTGTGTCTCTGCCTCTCTCTCTCAAACTGTGACCATCATAAGTAAATAAAAATTAAAAAAAAAAAGATATATCACATCTGGTCAAGAATAAAGAAAGCAAAAAGCGGACTGACAGGCTTGGATCCTGAAAAATTTAAGATCTAACATGCAGTTGCTATGTACAAAGGGATAATTTTAACTTCATTCAACTCAAGATTAAAGTGTTCATATTGGGAATTAACCAGAGTAAAACCCACTTATTTTCAATCGTGCAATTTGGAATCAGATAGCAACGGGTTGAATGCATCTGAACTTCTCAAATAGTCTGAAGATTTAACCTCGAAGTGCCTGAAATTCTTCATGTGGTTGCTGTGGAGCAGAAGTGGAATAATGCAGGTGAAGCCCTCCCTTGCTGCCTGGCTTGTGATAACCAGACAACAGATGGCAATGCTTTCTTCTCTCCTCTGAATGATCTCAACTATGTGAGGAGAGTTTGGTGGCGGCAAATGAATGTCAGACTCCCCTGATATGAGAGTGAAGCTAAGTTTTGCCGAATAGTGTCTACCTGGTGTCAGCATGAATCAGGGTCCCCCAAACTAGAATATGCAAGCTTTCAAAGGGTCAAGTGGAATCTCAGTTAGGGTGACTTCTTTGTAATATGGAGGTCCATTGATTACTAACTAGCCCAACTCCTGTGTTTTGTGACTAAGCTGGGTGGGGGCTTCTCCACCTCTCCCAGTGGTACCATGCATCAGTTTCCCAGCCTACAGATCTATTTTCTCTAAAAAACAAAATTTCCTAGCATCCCCAGATTACATTACCAGATAGCCTCCAAGAATTAATATATACTGCTTCCTATATATCAGAGATCATGGGAACTGCATGTACAGGTAACTTCTAAGACAACTAAGAAAAATGTACTCTTTAAGTTCTCCTTAAAAGAATTCTCTAAGGGGCACCTGGGTGGCTCAGTTGGTTAAGTGTCTACCTTTCGCTCAGGTGATGATCCCAGAATCCTGGGATTGAATCCAATCTGGTTGAAGACTGAGTAGCTAGGTTCCTTTTTTCAAACCCAAAATACATTCCCTGCTTTCTTTTCATGTTACTCACTATATCACTGATGCCAAAGGAGTCATGCTTAACTGTGGCCATAAGGTGAATCGCTTCAGAAGACAGTCTCCTCTGTTGCCCTACAGTATATGCTCAGATTTGAAGCTGGGGTAGGACTCCAATAATTCAGATACCACAATCTTAGGTACAACTTCATTTGACTTATATGAGACAAAAATGATGCATGAGAGAGAGAACAGACCATGTTCTTCCTGTCCTCATCACAGAACCCACAAAGCCATACACTTGCAGAGTACAGGCACCAAGGCCTTGATGTTCAGACTGAACAAAATAATGACTAAAAACATGGACCGAAGACCCATGCTCTCTGGCTGTGACCATTACAAGCTGCATGACTTTAAAAAAGTGACTTAACTTGTGACTGTGTTACTGGTTCATACCTTTCACAGACCACAAGGTGTGAAAAATGAATGAGTTAGTTATCTTGCGTACCATGTTCAGTGTGCCTGGCACACACTAGTGCCCCCAAGTGTTAGCTGCTATTATCTACTTGATGTTGAAAAACCTTAGGTCTCTCTGTATCCATGTGCCTGTGTCTTGTAATATTTTGAACCCTAGCTCTGTCATTAGTTAGTTGTGTGCCTGGGGAAAATTTTTTAAACTACCCTAGCCTAGGTTTCTCTTCCTATAAATAGGGGACAATGGTGACACCTGGGTGGCTCAGTGGTTGAGTGTCTGCCTTCAACTCAGGGTGTGATCCTGGGGTCCTGGAATCGAGTCCCATGTCAAGCTCCCCACAAGGAGCCTGCTTCTCTCTCTGCCTATGTCTCTGCCTCTCTGTATGTCTCTCATGAATAAATACATAAAATCTTTTAAAAAAGGAAATAGTGGAAAATGATTATTACTTTCAAAAATCATTGTGAGGATCAAATATCAATGTTTTTAAAGTGCTTCACACATATAAATACCTGAATATGTACATAGTAGTTCTTATTTTATTATCTATAAACTGTGTAGGATAACAACAAGCCCTGTCCTGTCTCTCTCATGGATTGTTGTGAGAACATACATAATAAAGCAGTGTAAAGCACTATATATAGATGTTATTACATCCAGCACGTAGGCAATCAGTTAGTAGGGATTGTTCAGTCCCACAGTATCAGGAAGCTAAATAAGGAAGAGAGTGTAGTCCATTATGCGATTGTAAACAAATTGCTGCTTTTACCATTAGGAAATCAAAGAATGGTCAATGTAAACAAATCAGCTTAAGGCTTGCTCAAGAACAGTACTTTTTAATTTACTGAAAAGTGCTTTCCAAGTTTTTATTTTAAAGCCACCAACACAAGTTGATGATGAATAATTTAAGGATGTTATGTTGCAGGGCGCTGGGTGGCTCAGTTAAGCGTCTGCCTTCAGCTCAGGTCATGATCTCAGGGTCCTGGGATACAGCCCTGCAACAGGCTCCCTCCTCAGTGGGGAGCCTGCCTCTCCTTCTCCCTTTGCCCCCCACTCATGCTCTCTTTCTCTCTCTCAAATGAAGAATCAAAATCTTAAAAAAAAAAAAAAGGGGGGGGGCAACATTGGACTGGATAGAATTTTTGGAGAAGTTTTTATGGCCTGGGTATTCTTTCATTTTAATTTAGTAGATGTTGATATGTGTTGGTTCTGAGTGTTGTGGTATTTAACAGTTTTCTGCATTTTAACCCAATGAAGATGGGTTCAGAGTGCTCCTGGGCTTGAGTATAAACAGAAGAGAACTCCCTATCCCTGAAGCAGGAGACTGACCTCTGAAGACATATTTTTCTTTCACAACTGGCCAATATAAACGAGTCTTCTCTGAATTGCTTTATATAGGGTTCTCAGAATTCAAATTTTATCCTATTGTATTTAAGGGAAATTGCTTTTTTTCCTACAATGCTATTGCAGGTCATGAAATAATAATCTTTACCGGAAATTAGCATACCTCTCCACAATGGGAACAATCTAAAAACATATCCCTTTACTTGCTTTCAATTGCAACAAATACTAAAATAGTTACATGTCTGATGTAGACATGAATAGAGCCAGTTACAGAAATTTGTTTGGACTTTTTCCAATAAAACTTTTCCCCTCCTAACTAGTTTTGATCCCTCTCAACTGTTTTTTCTCCTCAATTAGATTTAGACTCAAAGTAGCCTGGAATGTGCATTTTTAATGTTTTGATTTTCCGTCAAAATGCCTGCAGTCCAATAGTATCCTGCACATAACTGGGGATCAACACATAGTTTTTGAGTTAATTTATTTAGTCTTTGGAACAATGACTTTTGTAGTGAAATTTCAGTTGTAGACTTTTAATCAGGAGTTGTTTCATTCTCCTGAATAATAAGACTGGAAGGTGTTTTCTTTCTTTCTGGCAGTATAAAATCTGCGTGTCCTGGCGAAAGCTTAGGAAACGTATAATTGATGTATTTTTGAAATGCTGCCCTTGTTTCCTGTAATTCCTCCTCCAGGAAATCTTTCCAATTTGTCATAATGCCTAGTTGTTTCGCTATGGACAGCAGCTCCCCCTGAGTGTTAACCAGTTTATCCATCACATTTCCAAGCGTGACCTGATGTGTCTTCTCTGCTTCTTGAAGTACTTCCTGAACTTCTTCTTGCTTCTGTCTCTGAGTCATGCAATAGTAAATGTTCATTTCATGTTCTTTTTCTTTTATTATCTGGGTCATACTCTTCTTCTGATCCTTCATAGCTGTTATACCAGTATTCAAAATTTCCTCCGTGGCTAGTCTACAAAAGACACGGAATTATAAGTTAGATGAGTTAGCCACTAAAAACAAAATGATGTTGTTTTTGCCTCAGATATATGAGAAATTTTTGCATTGTTTAGATGAGCCATCAGTCTGAGACAGGGGAGTAGAGATGAACTTTCAGATGCATTAGCTGTTAACAATCCAAAAGTATTTTTCCAGCAGGGAGATTGCCCACTGACTTCCCTGATGGTAATTTTAGGGACCTGAATCCTCTGTAGCCAGAAAGCTATGAATGCAATGCAATTAAAAATGAAGAAGTAGGGTCAAAATTTTAAACCCCTAGAGAATGTATTTCTGTGTATCAATCCAGCTATTCCCCTCAGCCAGAAAGAAGGAAACTGTACCTAACTTACAATACTCTGAACAATACTCTAGGATAGCCACCTCAAACCTTTTGGTCTCAAAACCCCTTTTCACTCTTAAAATGACCAAGGAACCCAAACAACTTTTGTGGTTTTTTTGGTTATATCTAGTGACACTGGCAGCATTAGAATTAAAAGTGAGACATTTAAAAATTATTTATACATTTATGTAAGGTATGATTAAACCTCTTAAATGTTAAATGTAATTAATTTACCTTTTGTCAAAGATACATTTTCCAAATTAAAAAACTTTGGTGAGAAAAGTGGCATAATTTCACATTTTTTGCAAAACTCTTTACTTGCTTGGCTTAATAAAAAAAAAAAGGTGGATTTTTCACATTGTTTCAATATGTTGTGACATCACACATCATAAAACCCTGGAAAATGTCACTCTGTACATGTGAGATAAAGAGAGTGAAAAGGCAAATAATATCTTTGTATTATTAAGAAAATAGCTTTGACCTCAGAGACTCCCTGAAAGGGTCTCAGGGATACTGAGCTTTCCTTGGACCACACCTGGAGAACCACTGCTGAATGAGTTCACAGACCTCTGGTTGTATTGTATATAATTATAATTTATACCAGCCAACTGTTTTGAATTCTTACCATGTCCCAGGCAAGTAAGTGGATGAGCATCCCATTCATACATTAGAGCTCAATGTTTCCTCAAAATGACTCCATGAAGTGGGTCTATTATTCTGCCTATTTCACTGATGAGGAGACTGAGGCTCACAATAATCAGGTGACTTGCCCTATTTCACTTAATCAGTACAAGTGGTGTACACAAGACCAGGTGGTCTAAGTCCAGGTCACAAGCTTTTAGCCACTTTTGGTAGATGTCTTTGCTCAACCTAGTTTGAGTAGAACCTCCCAAGATTTCAGAATTCAGTAACCTACAAATGCTGATTCAAATATGTAAGACTGTTCCTGAAAATCCTTCTCCTCTGCTTCTGGGTCTAATACAATCTTCCTAAGACTTAGCCCCTGCTCTATCGTCTAACTTCTATCCTCCAAGATGCAATACTCTCATTGTCTCCAGTTTTTTCAACTTGACTTTCAAATGTGACAGACTTCCCCAATCATGAGGTAAACATCAGTTGTCCTTAGCCTCTTGTTGCTGCTATGTAATATTTTCTCCCTTTTCCCACCAATCATGCTATACCTATGACTAATAATAAGGATTAACATTTACTGAGTATTTACTGTGTCCCAGGGACTGTGCTAAGAATTTTACATGCATTACATCTCATTTAATTTTCACAATAACTCACTGAAGATGGTACAATTTTTATTTATTATTTGTTATTATTCCCATGTAACAGGTGAGGAAATTGAGGCTTAGGGAGATTTAGTTATTGTTCAGAGACACGACTGAGCAAGTGGGAGAGCTCTTGCCCTAACCAGTACCTGCTGCAATAGCATAATAGGTCATTATAAAGTTTTTATTGGGAGGACAACGCAATGAAAGTAACATTTTAGAATTGTTATTCCAGTAATAGTGGCTAAACTGAATAGTAAAGGGGTGATGTAGATAGACGAATAGTTACTATTTTGCAACATTCTGGGTGTGCAACCATTAGGGTCTGAATTAATGATGAAAAAGAAAGGAGTAGGAAAAGGGAGAGAAGGGGTAAGTCCAAGAAATATTACAAAGCAGTAAGTGCCAGAGTCTGTGTTGGCTAGGATAAAGGGGAGGCAGAAAGAAAAGGAATCAAGACCAACTTCCTTTTTCAGTGCCATGTTGGGGATGACCTCAGGACAAGCAAAAAAAAAAAAAAAAAAAAAAAGAAAGAAACAACCCAACTGCCCATCAATAATGTAGATAAAATAAATAAATAACACAGACAGTAAATTGTGGTATATTTATATTATGGAATAATGTTCAATAACAAACTATAGTGACATGAAAAAACAAATGAATCTCATAAACACTGTTATGCAGAAGAAGCCCTATAAACAAGATTACACATCTACTGAGCCCATTTATGCAAAGTTCAAAAAAAAAGGCAAAACTAATCTATGGATTTAGAAGTCAGGAGAGTGACTACCTTTGGCCTCCTATCACATATGTGAAGAACTGAAAAAAAAGGTAATGATTGTGAGGAGTATGAACAGGAACTCAAGGGTATTCTTTAATATTCTATTTCTAGACCTCCATAGTGTTTTAAAATGTATGTCCATAACTTGATAATTCATGGAGCTGCACACTTATGACTTCTGCATTTTAATCAATTATCTGATATGAATAAAAAGATTTAACTAAATAAACTTCATCTATCTTAAAAAAAAAAAAAACCAACTTCCTGGTTCTCAGCCTTGGTCACAGGAGAATGGAAGTGCTATCAGTGGCTAGAGCTGGGAGCAAGCCTCTACACATACCCTGAAGATTTAGTCTGATGTTTTATAGAATGTTTAGGATATTGGAGAGCTTGTGAAGGTGGTGAGCAGGGACCCTGAGGCTTTGATCAGAAGGAATTGGAAGGAAGCTTCCTTGAGCCAGCCCCAAATCCTCATGGAGGAAGTGGTGCTCCTTCTGGAACCACCACCTTGTCACATGCAGATGTGAACTTCCTGCCTGGTTGGCCTGGCTTTCTCTTGGCCCACAAAGAGGATGTGTTCATCTATGGGGCCAACTAGAAGGCTCCACAAGAGCTGACCCCAGGTAAAACTGCTCAAATAAAGTTCATCTTAGATGACTCATGCTCCCACCCTCCGTAACAGCCCCCCTTAAAACTCCTTACTCTCAAGATGGGTTCTCACTAAAAAGATCTGGTATTTTTTGGAATGTCCTTTCCAACTCCTCCCAGCCTGCATTAGAGCCTGCATTTTTGACCCTTTGGGATTCACTCTCTTTGGTTAGGTTAGAGTATCGCTGATCTTTATTCTGATAATTTCCTTGAAATCATGGAATTGAAGACTGGAGGAAAGTGGGTACAGGGCATGGAGAGATGGTCTGGAGTGCCCATTCATCCTTCTATCTTCCCTGTCTGGCATGGTGCCTGGTATGTATACAACAGGTAACCAGTAAATGGGCAGACAAGTGGGTAATATAGATGTAGTTCTCTCCAATACATTTTTTTCCAATACATTTTTTTATGCCAAGTAACACCAATTTAAAAACAGCTAGAGTAGAGCATTATAAAGCCTGAAATAATTCATACTTAAAAAGGATTCTTACTATACACAAAATATTCATCATAAAAAATAGTCAATTCTTGTGGTATATCTAAAATATTTTTAGATTTATACAAATTACCCATGATAATTTTTTTTCTCAAAAGATAGCCTAGAAATCACATTATATGGTTTAGTAGTTTGTGTTTTTTTTCTTTTCTCCAAATGAAAGCTTAGACATTTTTTCTCTCTCCTCAAGTATCTGAAGGATCACTATGCATAGCGGGGAGGCAGAGCTGGAAGCCAAGGGTGGATGTGAGGATGAGACTCAGCACATTTTGGATCCACTTGACAAGTAGAGGCATTCAGCATTTTAACCAACTGCTTCACCCAGTTGTAAAATACCTGAAACAGTAGCACCTGGAGGCTCACCAACACCTGGCAGGCATCTAGCAGAAGGAATGTCAGGTTCAATTTGATGACCTCTAATGCCTCTTCTGACACTATGTGAATATTCATGCTTCTTCTGTAAGTGGTGAGGTCTCTCTGCATCTCTCACTTTATAAGGCTCTAATCTTGGGATTTCAAAATTACAAACCATATTTACGTGTAGTGCTGGCCAGAAATGGAACTATTTTTTAATAATTTTAGTGTGTGTCCATATATATCTACTGGATTCAGTCTGATATTTTATAAAATGGGTTCTCAGAGAAGAAAAATAGATTACTAAATACAAATTCAATCTAATATATAATGATCCAACCTTATTAGACTCTTAGGGAAAAAAAAAGCATGGAAAAACCATACTAGCAACTGATTTGTGCTTTGCTCTTTAGGGACTCTCTTAGCTCTCTCTCTCACTGCTTTTGGTTGAAATGGTACAAGATACATTGCTCACAGGTTGAAAGAATAATATCTGGCTCTTCATTCCCTTCTACCTATTAACTGAATTTTTCATTTTCCCCATATAGGCTGCTAAGAGCACACTTTTCAACCTCCTTTCTATGTCCATCAGTAAAAGTCCTAGCTCTCAAGGCAGTAAGAACCATACTTCATTGCTCCATTTCTTCAATTCCTAAATTATAAAGGGATTTATTCCCAAAATTCATTTGTACAGCCAATGTTCAGAGTGATATTGAACATTTTCCTGATGAGCCCACAATAAACTATTAATCCCTTTTTTCTCTTTTTTTTTATCTTATTTATTTACACATGAGATAGAGGGTGAGACACAGGCAGAAGGAGAAGCAGGCCACGCAGGGAGCCTGATGCAGGACTCGATCCTGGGACTCCAGGATCACACCCTGGGCTGAAGGTGCCGCTAAACCACTGAGCCACCCGGGCTGCCCTTAATCCATTTATTTCACTTGAACTATAAGACTGTTAGCAATATTTTAATCAGTTATAACCACGGTGTTTTAAAGAAAATACATTTTGATTTTCTAACTGTGAAACTACCACACCCTGATCTTGCAGGAGGATTAGTGATACCCTCAAACAGAGGCGACAGGCATTATACAGGTTTGGTGGGGGAGCATCTTCAGAGGCCACCCGTTAGTGGCACATCTATATCTTGCGGTTATTCATATTTTTCACCTTCCCCTGGTTCTGCCTCACTATGCTATCCACCTTCCCCTCTACATGTTGTTTGTGCTTTCTCGCTCTTGCCAGTCTTTCACAAATGGGACCACCTTCCTTCTAAGGCTCAATCCAAGACTAACTGCCTCCAACAAACCTACCTCACCACATAGCACACAAACTTGTTGCTTCATCTTTTCAGGACTTTCCCAGCACTTATGTGTTCTTTGTACCCATTCATCTAGCCTTGGTGTATGGGGCTGCCATGCTTTAGTTATTTCACATGTTGAGTAAACACCCTTATTTCCTTGTACCAGAACTCAGGCCCACATCCATAGAAGACACTTTATAAGCTCTGGTGAAATGAGCAGGGTAATGTATTGGAAGGTCATAAGCTTTGGTGTGGTGTAGACCAGGGTTCACATCTGGCCCTGTCACCTCTTATCTACACAGCCTTTGGCAGGTTGCTCTGTTTCTCTCTTAAGACTCAGGGACTTCATCTGAAGATATAGAGGATGCTAGTATCCGGGAAGGGACATGAGAATTCAGTGAGAATCACACAAAGGGTGTTGCATGTGCTGGGTATTAAATAAAGGGTAGCTATCATTAGGAATTATAGCCATGCACACTAACATTCCTGAAGAGTCACTTCATTCATGCCTTTGTCTTGGGCTAGAAAACATTTAGAACCTTTCCAAACAAAACTTGCCTTCTTACTTGCTCCTCCCTCCCTCCCTCCCTTCTTCCCTTCATTCCTTCCAGAGAAAGAGTACAGTATCTCCTAATCTGTTTAGAATCTAATTACCCCAGTCCACAAAAAAATTTTCTGTGAATTTAATGTATGTGTCATAATATATAAATGTTCTGAATCCTTAATTTTTCAGTGGAAGCTTATAGCCAAATAAAAGAGTTATAGCCAAATTCTAAGCAGTGGTCCTTCTCCCTATATTAGTTTCTGCTAATGCTCTAAAGAACACTGGGATCCAGGGATGCCTGGGTGGCTCAGCAGTTGAGCATCTGCCTTTGGCTCAGGGTGTGATCCCGGGGTCCTGGGATAGACCCAAATTGGGCTCCCTGTGAGGAGGCTGCTTTTCCCTTTGCCTGTGTCTCTGCCTCTCTCTCTGTCTCTCTCATGAATAAATAGATAAAATCTTAAAACAATACAAAACAAAACACTGGAATCCAGCAATGACTAGAAATAAGATCTGATGTGCTGCAGAGTGGGTTCAGCTAATTGGAACACATTCGAACCTTTGTTTAATAAATATTTAGCACATGCATACCATGTGCCAGGCTTTCTTCCAGGCATTTGGAATACATCAATGAACAAAATGGACATTCTAGTTGGCTATCCTTCAACAAGAGACATGAGAGTTCCCTAATTTAATAAAAGGCAACTGATTTAATAAAAGGCAGCCATTGAAAATCTTCTACTCAAACCTCACAGAGGAAAGGGCCAGAGGTGGGGAGTATGGTGAAAGCAGCAGAGTGGGGGAAGGAGTAAATATTGCAGGTGTGTGAGGAGTAGACCCAGAAGCTCCCACAGGAGAGGCAGAGTTCCTGTAGATGGAAGGTGGGGAGAAGGAAGAGGAGGATACCTCTTTCACTGTATTGCACCACAACTCATTTGGGAGTTACCACCTTCCCATTCTCCCAGAATCCTTTCACCTTACTTCTGTGTCTCAACAATGATTTATCGCCTATGAATGAAGGAAGGTACCACCTAAACAGTCACAGCTGCAGCCCTTACTCTTCCTTATCTGCAAAATAAGAATCCTACGGAATTTGGCCCTTGGCCCTGTTCTAAACATTTCTAACAAAGAAGATTTTACCCATTAAATACATACAAATAGATTCATTCCTAAAGCCAAAGAGCAAAACAAAAGAAACAAGTCCTGAACTAAAAGGCCAAACAGAGGTTTCAGTCTTGGTTCTGTTGCTGCAGCTATATGGCCTCGGACAGGTCACTTAACCCCTGGAAACTGTGGTTTTCTCTTGGTCCCAGTAATCACTAGGGATCCTGACTGCTGTCCTGTTAAAATCGGTCAACTCCATCAATGTTCATTGCATACATAAAAGTGGTTACTTCAGTATTCTTAAAAAAAAAAAAGTGATCTAATTTATGTAGACATTACTTGTGATTATGTATAAATATAAGGTTGTAATTATGTCAAAAGGGCATGGAAGGACATGGACCCCATTATTCAAAATGAAAATTTGGAATGCCTGGGTGGCTCAGCAGTTGAGCATCTGCCTTTCGCTCAGGGTGTGATCCTGGTCCTGGGATTGAGTCCCACATCGGGCTCCTTGCGGAAAGCCTACTTCTCCCTCTGCCAGTGTGTCTCTGCCTCTCTCTGTGTGTCTCTTATGAATAAATAAAATTTTTTTAAAAATAAAAATAAATAAAATTAAAATCCATGGGAGATAGGGAGGGTAGGAAAGCAATGAGTCAGGATTTAGCAAGTTTTGCCCTACGTATTTCCAAAGTGTCAGTTTACAGCATATATTACTTGTGTAATAAGGAAATGACCAAGAAGTAACACATCCATGCTGGTGTATCATATTGGTTAGTGGATGTGAAGATTGACTTTTATGTGTTTATGTGGAAATGTTTCTTGATTCCTCTCCTCAGCCTCTTAAAACTGGAGATACAGAATGCAAAACACATTATTTAGGCTGGTATTATCTCTTGAGAGGGGTGAGAGGAAGAAAATGTGATTGAGGAAGAAAACATGGGAGTGTCAGAAGTGGTAGCAATTTTCTTTTTTTTTTTAAATAAAGATTTTATTTATTTATGCATGAGAGACATAGAGAAAGAGAGAGGCAGAGACACAGGCAGAGGGAGAAACAGGCCCCATGCAAGGAGCCTGACATGGGACCTGATCCCGGGTCTCCAGGATCCCACCCTGGGCTGAAGGTAACGCTAAACTGCTGAGCCACCAGGGCTGCCCTGCAATCTTCAGTCTCTTCGGATGAGTGGTAGGTCCTTCAATATTTGTGCTGTTTTTCTTTAAACCACACATACACATATACACACATTCTACAATATGTTATATACTGTTCTCTATGTTTGGTATAATCCATAATAAAAATGTAAAAACACAGAACCTGGAAAATACCTATTTATGTGCCTCAACCTTATCCCTTTCTCCAAGTTGATTTGGCCAGAGTAAGATACTTATTTGCAAATGTCTTCTCTGGAATACCTTTTCTGGGCCTGGATTGCTTCTTGGGCCATCTGTCTTTCTTCAGCCCTGGCCTTCTCCACAGCCTGGACCTTTTCCCTGTGGCACTCCATCATAATCCTCTGGATTCTATGCATCATGCGTTGTTCTGCAGCCAAATGTTCTCTCCGCAGTTCATCTTCCATGTTTTGGTGCACCTCTATCTTGGTTTTGGCTGCCAATTCCTTAAGCAATAAAGAGGTTTAGATGTTAAAATTTTGATGTTTAAAAATGCACACTAAGAGGTTATTAGAATCAGTTCATCAACCCAGTGGAATGTGCAGCTGTGAACACTGATGACTTAAGAGTGTGGGAGTGCCTGGTTGGCTCAGTCAGTGAAGTGTCTGACTCTTGACTTCAGCTCAGGTCATGAACTCAGGGTCATGAGATCAAACCCTGCCTTGGGCTCCACACTGGGCATGCAGCTTGCTTAAGACTCTCTCTCTCCCTCTGCCCCTCTGCCCCCACTTGTGCTCTCTCTAAAGAAAAATAAAATAGGGGCACCTGGGTGGCTCAGTGGTTGAGCATCTGCCTTCAGCTCAGGGCATGATCCTGGGGTCCTGGGATCCAGTCCCACATCAGGCTCCTTGCAGGGAACTTGCTTCTCCCTCTGCCTCTGCCTCTGCCTCTCTGTGTCTCTCGTGAATAAATAAATAAAATCTTTTTAAAAATAAAATAGTGGGGATCCCTGGGTGGCGCAGCAGTTTGGCGCCTGCCTTTGGCCCAGGGCGCGATCCTGGAGACCCGGGATCGAGTCCCACATCAGGCTCCCGGTGCATGGAGCCTGCTTCTCCCTCTGCCTGTGTCTCTGCCTCTCTCTCTCTCTGTGACTATCATAAATAAATAAATAAAAAATTAAAAAAAATAGTGTATATAATATGGAAAACTTCATTTATATGATGCTAATGCCAGAAATGTTGCAAAGATTAGAACGTAAATATTCATATAGGTAATATTGGAATATTCCCAAAATGCAGAATGGGAAAATAGGTCTTTTTATTCCTTGATTGTCCACATATTCTATAATATCATATTATCTTTATACATAATTAGAGATACATAATACGATTCTCCTTTACAAAGTCAATCTCGGAAAATGACAGAAATAATGACTATGCCCCCTAAGTGTCTCCTGGGTAGAAGGGAACCTGAAGTTCAAGCAGGTAATAGTTGCCCATAACTGTCGTTACAGAAGCTCATCTGCCAGTCCTCTTGCCATCTGAGCATTTCGGCTCATTAGCATTGAGGGACTCTTTCTCCTTCACCAAGGGGACAGGAACAAGTGCTCCATTGCTTCAGGGTAGAAGGACCTGTGGAGGATGACTTTGGCCAAGTAAAGAGAGGAAGCACAAGTCAAATTTGGACTCAAGAAAAACAGATGCTCAAGGAAAACCCTGTAACCATTTTGGAAATGTCTCTAACTCTGCCGTGTGCTAGGCACTGTGCTAGGCCCACGTACTACAAACACAAGAAGGCAGGAATCCTCCTCCTCAAAGACTCACTGTTCAAAGGAAGTCTAGTGGAAGAAACCAGCAACTTAATCATGCAATGAGTGTTTTAGTAGAAATGCAAGAAAGGAGGAGCTGTGAATTCTGTCTAAAGTTTCAAAATTTTCATTTAAAGGTAAATTTTTATCTCGATTTAAGGGATAACAAGATAGCATAAAGAAATAAGTTATTTTACATAGTGAGTCAGTGGAAGAACAAGGAACAGAAACAGAATTCTCAAGGCCAGTTTCTTGCTTCATTGCTGGCTGTGATGCTAGGTTCTTTCAAGAGATTCATCGATTTATTTTCATTCCAGAAATCCTGTACAATTTAATTACAATGAGCATGTCTGCTTACTTTTCTCTCTCTTTCTTTCTTTTGAACTCTATGTCTCAAGGGAAACTAAAACCACTTTAGCTTTTTTAGACAAGTGTTTCAGCTATTAAAATATTTGTTAGGCTTCAGGTTGTTTTTTTTTTTTAAAGATTTTATTTGTTTATTCATGAGAGACACACACAGAGAGAGAAGCAGAGACACAGGCAGAGGGAGAAGCAGGCTCCATGCAGGGAGCCTGACGTGGGACTGGATTCTGGATCTCCAGGATCATGCCCTGAGCTGAAGGTGGCACTAAACCGCCAAGCCACCCGGACTGCCTAGGCTTCAGTTTTTTTCAAGAGGAAGCAAGTTTTCAATTTCTCACTTCAGCTACTCCAAAGGTGAAAATTTTAAAAAAGGAATAAAACAAGAGAAAACAACTTAAAGAATCTCTCCAGAGTGGCTGCAGTTCATGTATTTAGAAAGAAATTTTAAGGAAAACACTGGCTATTTAGAAATGCCAGCTAGGTTTTCCATACTACAGAAGGCTTTGTCTCTTAGAGGACTAGAGCTTTTTGACAATAAAACATTTTGAATGGAAATATTTATAAATGTCTTTAACATTTATCTTACTTCATAAAAAGAGTATAGCGAACATACTTTGACCTTTCTTGGTGATCCAGGCTGGTAGATAAAACAGAATGGTTGTATTGAGCTAAATATTCTATGTCACACTTTAGTTAATTGTTCAAGTTATGGGGCTACTTGTCTCTGTCAAAAATGACCCCAGACTGCTTTGCTTTTTTGAGATCTGATAACTGATTTTTGTAATTTTTTTTTCTTCAATGCTATTATGCTGAGGACTGTCTGTTCTCATTACTGGTGTGATCTCCTTTTTATCATTTCTAGTTTCTGACATTTAATTTATTCTGGATTTGTGACACAGAGCAGCCACATCTGTTGGGTTCAGGCTTTTGAGTAAGTGTAAATAATATTTGAGTGGGGAATGGGGAAGTTCTGCTATGAGTAATAAGCCTGAGTTGTAAGTCTTGTAGTCAGAGACCTTTATTTAAATTCCTCAGGGATATTTTAAATTATTTCTGGGTCTTCAAGTGTATTCTCAGTAATTGAGACTGCTGAATGCTTGAGTTTTAGATAGATGAAGTAGTATCACAAAATATTTCTATCTGAATCACAGAATTTAAAAATGACACCCCACCCCTTTATTTTGTCTGGGTTCTGAACTTGGATTCAAAGAATTAAACCAAGTCCTTCTTTTATGTAATGACGTCTTAAACGCAAAATCATTTTACTGCCTCATAAAGCGTGTGGAATATATCTTTAAAGTTACAAAAATAATTCAATGACTGACTGTTTGGCAGTGTTCTTATTCAATGGAAAGTCTCCCAGTTAAATTACTTTTACTGAAATGCATTTTGAATAAATCAGCCCATATATTGAGATATTGTAAGAAACAGCCTCATGAAATCCATCAAATTTACTGTGCTGATGTTTGACAGACATTTATGACATAATATCTCCCTTAGGAGAAATTTCTCTCAGCTATCACATGTAGGGATATCCGGACCTCTCTGAGTATCTGATCTGTTTTTGCCTTATGGACATGGTGATTCATGGCATTTTCCTCTTTCCACTGGCTGCCAAAAGTTCAGAGCCCAAATAGTGATAATTGCACAGGAACTCATGCATATATACAATTTTTAAGTTTTTAATTCACTCTAGACTTCATTATATTTTCTACTCTAATTTTCCCTTAACTTCCATTTTATCAGTTGCTTTTCAATATTCTTAGATTTGAAAAAGTTAATCTAAATCTCTTTTCAAAATACTACCTGTCCATTGGATAAGGTCTACAAATTTTATTTAACAGTAAGCATCTGCAACTTATGCCAAATTCTTAATATCATAAAAGAGTAATACCTGGTGAGGTCTACATATCCGAATTTAATAATATTTGGTTTCAGAATAGCTTGGTTTTCTGCTCTACATATTGATAATCTTGAACTGTAACATGTGTGAGAATCAGATGGACTGCTGGTTAAAAACCTTGTCCCTGACTCTGTAGGTCAGGTGGGGCCTGGGAATCTGCATGTTAAGCTCCCTGGTGAGTAGATTCTAAAGCAGTTGTTTTGTAGACATTCCTTCAAAAGCAATAATGATGTCTATGTCTGGGTATCCTAAATTGAAACAATCCTATGCATCCCTCTTAGACAAATCATTCCTTCCTTACACTAAAAGTGTCCCTGAGTTGTCTTGGTGGCTCAGTACGTTAAGTGTCCGACTTTGGTTCAGGTCATGATCTCAGGGTTCTGGGATTGAGTCCCATGACAGGCTCTGCACTCAGTGGGGAGTCTGCTTGTCCCTTTCTCTCTCCCTCTGCCCCTCTCCCTCCCCCACCCCACCCCACCCCACACCCTGCTTGTGCACTCTCTTTCTCAAATAAATAAATAAAATCTTTTCGAAAAATGTTCCTGAGATGGCAGTATAAATGTAAATTCCCAAACCCTAGACAAATATTTTAGAAAGGTCAACGTCCTTCTAACTTTTCCCCTTTACATTTTCTTAGGCTTCTTCTATGTTAGCACCTAAGTGTATCAACTCCACCCAAAGACTATCTGGGGTACAATCAATGTGAGCTCCTTGAAACAGGCTAAATTATCCTTGCATTTTCACAACCTAACTCCAGGAGTGATATTTAAAATGTGTATCCTCTGGCTGCAGCATTGGAGCAAGGTCCTGGAGTTCCCCACTAATTTAAAGGGTTGACCCTTACTGGATTGGAGGAGGCCTTAGAGTCTGGGGGAGAAGCCCAGTGATTGGGGAGTGCTTATCTAATAACTGATAGAGAAGTATTTAAATTCTTAATGGCCATACCAGAAGATGCCAGCTGAATATGAGGTCTACCTAGACATGCTGAATATTCTTTATGCTTTGGACTAAAATAGGGAATGGGGAGTGAACCACTGCAGCCAACTTCTCAGGATCCATGGCCAGCGGAGCCAAGCAGAGAGGATCCTACTACTGTTCAGGAACCTTGGGGCAGAGCTCCCTTTCCTGTCAACAAATTTCCTGAGGACAAGGACAGCCCATTTAATCTCATCTAATGCCAATATGATATAGGGTAGGTGCTCATTACTGAAACAATGAAAAAATGGGCCAGTGGTCCCTGAACTGTGTATTAGTTACGTTCTTTATTAAGTTAGGCCAAACCTGGGGCCAAATTTCTGCCACTTTCTCTCCAGCCTCTGCCCATGAGTTGTCACATCCACACCACATCCTGTTCTGCCCCTCCCATGGCCGACATATGAAAATAGTTCTATATTTTTTTCCCCTTGATCAGATTTTGTGACTGAGGTACTGAACTAAATAATTAATTCCTGGACCTCTGCCTGGAAGGTTTGCTAGTTACTGACAGTTGTGTGCTTGAGCAAGTTTCATGTTAGAAAGAAGACCCCTCAGGATGCCTGGGTGGCTTAGTGGTTGGGGGTCCGCCTTTGACTCAGGGTGTGATCCTGGGATCTGGGATAGTGTCCCACATCACGCTCTTTGCGGGGAGCCTGCTTCTCCCTCAGCCTGTGTCTCTCCCTCTTTGTCTCTCATGAATAAATAAATAAAATCTTTAAAAAAAAGAGGACTCCTCATTTTATGAGCTCTGGTGCCACAGGAAATACTTCAGTAACAGCTCAGGGGCCCTCTTGGCACCACAGTAAATACAAATTGAGGGAAGAGGATGCAATCAGAGAGTCCAGGAGAAGGAAGAAACAGACTACTTCCTTTGTTCAGCCCCAATATGAACAACTGGCTAAGTCCAGGCTCTGCACTGGGCACGGGTCTCGAGTGGGAATGAGAGAGACAGGACTTATCAGAGGCCACAGTCACATGGGGGGCAGAAATTCAACAAGTAATCACACAATCTATTTAACTACAATGCTGATGGGTGAGGACCACTGTAAAAGGGGACAATGTATCGAGGACAGTGTGTGGTGTCAGGGCAGAGCTGCTCAGGTAAAGCTTCCTTTGAGTAGTGATGTTTGAGCTAAAACAGATGAAGTTGAACAGATGAAAGAACATTCTAGCAAAGACTCCCGAGGTAGGAAGGAAGGGGATGCATTCAGGTTTGAGGTGCCCAAAAAGGGCTGTGTGAGACAGAAAAGGGGCTGGGGCCAGAGATGTGGTGGGTAAGGCACACGGGGTAGCTCCTTTGGGCCTTGAAACCCCGTCAAGGTTTGGATTCATCAATCAGAGACCATGGGATTCTCCTGCACCCATCCATCACTGCTGCCTCTCTTCTGTGAAAATCCTGAGTCTCTTGACCAACCTCCACGAAACACCCACGGAGTTTTTACATATTTTGTTTTTTCTCTTATTCCTTTGCCAGAGCTTTTTACTGACCTATGCACCCTTAAAAAGACAACAAATAAGCTGTTGTGAAAACCTGTAAGTCTTTTCGATGTTCCTCTTCCAGGATCTGAATATTAATTTTGTGTTTGTCATTTGCTTCTTCAAGTGCTTTCTCAATTGCTTGTTTTTGACGTTCATCAGCCTTTGAAAGAAACAGCCTGTATTTATTCATATTTATGTATTAATGTATAAATTTATATTAATACAAATTTTTCGTGTTTACTGAAAATTAGCAACTGCCATGGGGACTCTACTTACTTGTTCTGTTTCCATCTCAAATCTCCCACAGCAAACTGGCTGCCTCAACCAGAGATGCCCTAACACATCCCAACTGATGGCTAACATCACTGTTTTGGGAATTGCTAAAGAGAGTTTTCTGTAAGCTGCTGGGTTGTCTTTTCTTTGGCACTTATTCCTTGCTTGACTGACTATCAAAGTAATGAGTGCTCATTGCTGAAAATCTGGAAAATACAGAAAAGTGGAAAGATGCACAAAGCTAGAACTTGCTGAGAAGGGCGGCTGAGCACCATCCCTGGCCTCCTGCATCAGGTGTTCAGAAAGAGATATTATTTTATTTGAAGAGAATGCCCAGATCATTAGATATGCTGACATTCAAATGGTAGATTATTCATAAAGGCATTGCTTTGTACTAAGGTATATAGTTAATAGTTTGCAATTGATTTGAATTTTCCTATTATTGATGAACAGAGATGACTACTATGACTTTTATTCATATTACCCTTCACACTTGGAGCATTTGCACTTTGTATTTGAATACCAAGTTTGTGCCTGCACTAATGCTGGATAATTCTAACACTCTTTGCTATGATGTCTGTGTTATATAGAAACTGAGAAATAATGTTCTAAGCACTGTAGCTTGTCCTGCTCTCACAGAGCATTAATTCTCTTTAGGAAGTTGTTTGTATTATTCTACCTATGACTGCAAGAAGTAGGGGCTAGAGGATTGATATTTTGTTCAGTTAAGTGTCTGGGATCTGTGAGCCCCAACACCCTCAAATTGCCTCTATAGCCCTCAGCAGTCATAGGGACAAGGTATTAAAGACTTTGGAGAAAAAGGAGCAAGGAAAGCAGGCCATAAGGTAGCATTTGGAAAAAACAGGAACTTGGTCAGGGGTGTTATATACCACATAAATGGATGGTCTACATATTAAATAGTAAGCAATAATAAGCAATTGCCAACAAGGATGTCATGTTTTTTTGTTTGTTTGTTTTACGTTCTAATCCAATGAGAATAATAAAGGGAGCAGGAGTCTTCCATACAGAGGGGCAATTTAGAAGGAAGCTCCTAATGGTGTCTGCTGCTCACTAAACACCTCCTGTGTACCAGACACATTATTTCACTGAATTCTTTCAATAATCCCATAGAATACTATTTTTCCTCTTTTACATCGAAGAAGCTGAGACTGCAGAGTTGAAGAACTTGCCCAAGGTCCCACAGATAGCCAGTATTCGAAGCCAGTTCTGCTTATTGTTTTGGACAAATCCAAAAAGTGAAAGAACTGTAAAGATGCATTTAGGTTGATATCCAACTTCTTTTACCTGAACCCACACATCAGCTTCTGCTTTTGCAATACGTTCTTTGAGTACTGCCTCTTGAAATTGCTCTTCTTTATCCAGAATATCTGCCCCGATATCTGTGTATTTGGGGAAAAACAATCACATGTGTCCACAGACTGTTTTTTCTTTTTTCACTATCGCCTAGTTACTTATTAGTGTTCTCTAAAAGATATACTCTTTCAGATGTCAATCTTTTCTTTAAATAAAGATACCAATGAAAAGGGTAGGTCTTTCCCTAATTAATGAGGAAGAAGCTCACAGCACCACCAGGTCTGGAGACAGTCTGTTCCCTTCATCACACTCAGGCCACACAATAAGCAACTGGGGAAGTAAAGTGGCAGAAAAGAGCACATTTTGTGGTTTCAGAGCAAAACAGTAAGAGAATATTCAAGTGCTATTAGCACATCATCCCACTCCTCTCTCCCTGCCCCTGAGTGCGGGTATTACCTCCCTCAGGAAAGTGGTAGCAGAATGCTCTCTTCACTCTGTTACATGCCTCTCTTTCTCCATGGGTAGGTCCTCACTCAGTTGTGGAGTGAGTAAAGGGATAGCTGTTTAGTACTTCTTGGTCAATAATCTCATTTAATTTCTACAAGATAATATTCCCATAATAGCCTCCCTGTTTGGACAAGAAAATAAAAGGCTAAAGAGGTTAGAGGACCACACAGTACCAGACAGCTAGGGACAGAGCTAGACCTGCAGCCAAGCTCCATCTTGGCCTGCCAGAGCAGACTGTTAGGTGGCTCAGGACCTGTGTGTGTGCAGGTGATAAGCCTTTTCATTGCTCAAGGCACACACAGAGGGATCTCTGCCCCAATCTCTTATACTACTCTTCATTCATTTCTCACATCTTAGATTTGTTGAATTGTTAACTTTTCATGTGATTAGGTCTTGATGATCAGCTTCCAAAAATTATAAAGCATATCTTATATTGCAGTGTCTCTCTCTTGATGCCCAGCTTGATGATAAGCACAGATAAGCCACTGTGGACATACGTGTTTGCCCAATGTCTCTGCACTCCCTCAGGACCCATTTCTCTCAAGAATATTCCTCTCTTACCTCAGGTGGTTCTGAGGGGACTACAACTCATAGCAACCAATCTGCTTGGCCCATCATATTGTTCCCATTCTCCAGGATTATATATGATGATGTAAGGAGAACATGACTTTTTCCTCTGAGATTTTGAAGCTAGAGGTAATAGCCACTTAGAGCAATTTGGAACCATTTCTACTCTTCCCAGCTGCTAGAGTAAGCCTGGCTGTGGTAGTAAACAATTAGGCCAACTCATTGAGAGCAAGTGTGGATAGATCTAGGAAGAAAGGTGATGAAGCATGGGCCATCAGTGTCCTGAACTTCATAAAAATATGATACAACTGTGGGCTGCTCTTACTCTTTTTTATGCCTAAATTCCATTATTTTATATTAGTTACTTTCAACCCTGATTGTTCAACAGGATTCTTGCATAACTTAAAAAAAATAGTTGGAAAAGACTACTAATACAAAGAAAAACTTGGATGGATCTCATGCCAATTTCAAAGAGTTACATACTGTATGATTCCATTTATATAACATTCTCAAAAGGATAAGATTATAGTGATGAACAGATTAGTGGTTCAGGTTAAGGTGTATTAAGGGGTAACACAAGGGAGTTCTTTTGTAGTGACAGAACAGTTCTCTGTCCTGATTGTGGTGATAGTTACATAATCCTACACATGTGATAAATTTCATAAAATTATACACCAAAAAAAAGAAATGCATGTAAGGTCTGTACCTGAGTTAGCAGTATTGTTCCAATACCAATTTTCTGGTTTTGACAATACACTAGCATTATGTAAGATATCAATAAGAGAAACTGGAGAAGGAATACAAGGGAACACTGTTCTGTTTTTTAATCTTGTGAGTCTTAATTTCCAAATAAAAATTTAAAAAAATTAAAAATTTCCAAATAAAATAAAAAAATTATTTTAATAAAAATAAGAAACAAATATAAAAAAATAAAAACCAACAATGCTGAACCCTGATTCTGAAGGTTATGATTTAGGGAGTCTGTGTTGAATTAATATTAAGTCCAATGACTCTCTATTTAGACATTTGTAGTAAAAACAAATGTTTTAAAAGCTGTGTGCACTGGGCCACCTGGGTAGCTCAGTTGGTTAAGTGTCAACTCTTGATCTCAGCTCAGGTCTTGACCTCAGGGTTGTGAGTTCAAGCCTCATGCTGGGCTCTACATTGGGCGTGGAGACTACTAAAATAAGTAAGTAAATAAATAAATAAATAAATACATAAATAAATAAAAGCTGTGTACACTGCTAGGGTTGAGGACTACTGCCCTATGCAATATTCACTTAACATTTTTACAGACATTCTCACATGCTTCTGAATTTACTTACAAAGAACAGAGAATTTTTTAAAATAAATTTTCTGTTTATTATGCTGTTTTGATATCTTTTTTTTATTTATTTATGATAGTCACAGAGAGAGAGAGAGAATGAGAGAGAGGCAGAGAGACACAGGCAGAGGGAGAAGCAGGCTCCATGCACCGGGAGCCTGACGTGGGATTCGATCCCGGGTCTCCAGGATCGCGCCCTGGGCCAAAGGCAGGCGCTAAACCACTGCACCACCCAGGGATTCCAGAACAGAGAATTTTGACTCTTGACTTAGTCAATGATAAATACAGGTCACTGAATATAAAATAATAATTTCTAACTTGATTTAATTTATCCACTTAATGTTTAGATTCAGATATCTCAGAAGGCATAAGGAACCAATCAATAAACACACATTTAAGAAAAGATAACCACTGATGTGGACGTAAAGTCAAATAATTTTAGATATTATTATTAATAAGTCATACTAAACATGTACTGAAAGTTAAAATCAGTTTTGGTACTGATATTTGTAGAGGACAACTCCAATTTGATCTCCCCTATACTCTGTGTTTTCAAAATACTCTCCATTCTTTAGCTAGCTTCTCATATTTTTAAAAATCAGGAGTGAAATCGAATCACTAGTTTACCAGTTTATAAGAAGAGAGGATCAAAGAAGTATATTGAGAGTCCTTAGGAAAACATTCCTAAGGCTCAAGTCAGACTATAAACTTTGATGGGAATAAGAATAGAAGCAAAAAATTGTGATGACAATCTGATTTGCTTAGACAGTAGTCTCTGGTTATCTCCATGTTAACTATATTTATATCACCAGCTACTAGTAAAGGTTATAGTGCCACCCACTTATTAAGGTGTTGCTTAGAGGTATTTCCCCTCCTGTATGTAAGGAAGGTGCACAAGTATGGGCAAGAGCAAAAAAACCTCCCATTTACTATTACGTGTCAATAAATAGCTAATTAAAACGTCATAACCAACCTACAAATAGGGATTAGCATCCCTTTTTAATATAGGATCCCTAACACCCCTATAAGGAAATAGATTGAGAGACTAAGTGTACTACTGTCCAAGACACATAACTGGTCAGAGGAGAAGCAAGATTTCAACCAATATTCTTCTCATGCCAAAGAGACACTTCTGGCAAGATAAGCAACTTTGATCAGAAGAGAAAAGTCTACATAGCAGAAAGAATGACACAATATGCTGTCAAAAACTAGAACAAAGGAAAAGAGCATTCACTTACCCAGTATATCTTTGTGAGTGTAAAAGCGTGTCTTAAATGGCTTGTATTCATGGATCCGTTTGAAGGTTTCCCCAAAAGGGGCAGGTGGAATTATTTTATTACAGACAGCACAGCAAACAAAGCTTGTGTAATTTGGATTTCTGATCATAATTAAATTTTAGATGTCTTTGACTATGTGCAGTTAAAATACTCTTATGCTACCAAAAAAAAAAAAAAAAAGTTGTAAGAAAAGCCAGAAGTTTAAGAAAGCTGGAAGCGATTCCAGGTTTTAGAACATTAGAAGCTGATAAGAATGAAATGATTCGCCATGATTAGGTAGTGATTATGTGCCTAATGGCAAAGAATGGTATGGAAAGCCTTTGCCATATAAGGTACAGGCACTGGATTTGGGAAGATTTAAGCAGTAGCTCTCTTCCAGACTCTAGCATTAAATTGTTAACTTACTTAGCAACTGTTGCTAGGTAAGACAAGCTTTGCTCATAAAAGCAACTAGAAATAATGACAAAAGGAGCATGGTACAGCCATTCATTTCCTAGATACTCTGTACTAGTTTCCCTTTGCTGCTATAACAAATTACCATACATTTAGTGATTTAAGACAACGCAAATTTATTCTCTGAAGTTCTGGAGGTCAAAAATCCAAAATGAGTCTTATGAGGCTAAAATTAAGGTGTTAGCAGGGCTGGTTCCTCCTGGAGGATTTAGGGGAGAGTTTTTCCTTGCCTTTTTCACCTTCTTGAGGCCATTCAAATTCCTTGGCTCATGGCCTCACATCATGTAGCTAGTCTTTTCTATCCCTGTGTGCATGGTGACTTTACTTCTTCCTCTGATCTTCGGCCTCCTTCTTACAAGGACCTCTGTGACTATATAAGGCCCATATGGATAATAAAGGATAATTTCTCATCTCAAAATCCCTATCTTGATCACATCTGCAAAGTCCTTTCTGCCATATAAGGTAACATATTCATAGGTTCTAGGAATTAGGATCTGAACATCTCTGGGGGTGGGGTGGGACAGGGGAATCATTATTCAGCCAATCACGCTTTCTCTTCTCTTTTTCCTTCCCTTCCCTTCCCTTTCTTTCCTCCCTCCCTCCCCCCCCCTCCCTCCCTCCCTTCCTTCCCACACTTTCTTTTAAATGGTTTATTTAAAGAAGTGATTTCTTTTAGGCCAGCAAAGGAGAGAACTTAATTTTTTTTCAGGTTATCTATAAATGTGATGTTTTGGTGTCATGGCAATAAAACTGGGAAACATCAAAGTATCTTAAAGGAAAAATTACTTTCCTTTAGTCAGCACTCCAAATTAATAAACCCAAATTAATAAGCCTGATTTTTAAAATCACATAGTAAGTTGTCATTGTCCTTGTTTTATTTTTTATTTATTTTTTTGTCCTTGTTTTAAAATGGAAAGTCTGCATCCCAAGAACCATCCTCCATGCCTGACAAACTAGGAAAAATTGGTCACCCTATAGAGGATAAAGCTATAAACCAATAAAATATTTAGGAAATTCTTAAAAACCAATTTATCAATTGAAAAGCTGTTCCTCTGGGCAAATAGCTCTTTTGTCAGGATAGATTAATTCCCTGGGCAAAAAGGTCACTTACCACTTATTGTTTACTTACTGAACTTGTCTCCACACCTAACCTATTACGTTACTAAGTTTTGCCCAATCTCAACCAGATTTCCATACCGAAAGACCTTCCTTTAATTACTTGAACCCTGACTCCAAAATGCTGTACAGCTGTTACTCAGACCATTTCCTTCTTAGACACAACTGATTTTGTCAAAGTGGCATTTTTTTCTTAAGAGAATGATTAAGAAGATCAATACACATCGAGGCAGCCTTGGACACTCTGCACACACAAAGCCTATGCTGTAACTTGTAACCACTCTGTAAAAAGTATCATAGTTAGGTTACTTGTTCCTAAAATTCAATATGATTGTTCCCTCCTATTATTTTTTACAGCTGCATGCCTTGCTGAATCCACTGCATATATATCAACAAATATTTCATAAAGCCTCATAGCCAATCTGCAAGATAGGGATTATCTATGAGAAAATAAAGCAATACAATTGGGAGTTTTTATTTGAAAAAAAAAAAAGCATATTATACTGAGGTATGATGTTTTTATGTGATTACAACCAAATGTTATCTATTTTAATTTTTGTAAATTAATGTTGCAATGATATTATAAACATGAAACCAAACTTTCTTATGGTTATTTTTCAGTAACCAAAAGCAACAATATGATCCTATTTAATATAAAATACATCCCTATAAGGAAACAGATTGAGAGGCTAAGTGTATCGTCTAAGGCACACAACTAGTCAATGGAGAAGACAGATTTCAACCCATATTCTTCTCATGCTAAACGGACACCTGTGCAAGACAAGCAACTTTGATCAGAAGAGCTGATAAAAGTGTATATGGCAGAAATGACATATGCAAATATGCATGTATTCATACACATAAATGTCATATGGCTTAAGGCTGCTCTGTGCATTTCCCACTGCCCTTCTGTGCTTCAATGGTCTCTTGATAGTTCACCTATCTCCCGCACCAAATATCAATTTATTTTGTTGAATAATAAATAGAGGAATTATTAAAGATGTCAGTATGACATTAAATGAGTAAATTGAAAATATAAGAATTCTAGTTCTTTAACAGCCAAGAACATAGGGATACCAAAAACAAAAGATAATACTTTAAATCAAAAGGCATTTTATACCACTTATGTGCATTTTAAACTGATGCAGTGTACTATATAGAGAGGTATAGCAAAGAAATATTCAGGGCTCAGGAATAAAGATTTGATTTAGTTGCATATTGATAACAGTTAAACTCTTTAATATCTACAAATAAGACATAATTGCATTTTCACATATCTTACAAAACCACAATAAAGTACTGGAAATTAAAAGCTCAAACTATGATGATAAACTCTGCCTATGTAATTATTGTTACTTGGTAATAATAAATGATACAAAATTTCATGGATAAGGTTTATTACTGATTACAGTGATTTGGAAAACAGGATAAAAATTTACAAATGAAACACATCCAGAAAAATCTAAATTATATAAAGTAAACCCAGGAGAGTAAGAAGACCTTTTCTTATCTATTAAATAGTTCTAGTTTTAAAATAACCATAAGGAAATTTGGTTTTATGTTCATAATATCATTGTAATATTAATTTACAAAAACTAAAATAGAATATTTGGTTGTAATCACATAAAAACATCATACCTCAGTATAATATGGTTTTTTGGAGAAGAACTCCAATTGCATTGGGTTATTCTCTCTTTTATTAATTTTAGTAGTTGAGTGGGAATACCTTTTCAAAGGAAATAAAATTCTGGTCCAAAAGTAGCTGAAATGGAGTACCTAAATACATGAGCCACCTGTGACTCTAAAAATTCTTTGTCTTGAATGTTAACTGCAGGCTTCATAATAATTTGCAATTCTTTCTTTTCATAAATAACAGGTTCTATGCCAGGAAGAAAATGAACATTGCCTTTGCGGATAGCAAAACAAAACAAAACTCTCACAACAGTTGCAAATGAACAATTCACCTTAAAACATTAAAAATACCCTGCAAATTTCACAGCATTGGGTTCTTTTATTATATAGAACTTAATAATTAACAAAAACAACTTCCGTCTCTTGGCACTTTGATACGAGGACTTAATTGAGAAGCTCCCACTGTGGAAAAAGAATTAGGTAAGGGCTGCAGCCTCAGGGCCTGGCTGCAAGTGCTACCTTTTTTTTCCTCATCAGCACTTTCCAGAACAAGAAGCTTATACTATGCACTCACAAAGTCTTTCCTTTGAAGATTTCAGGGCCCTTTAAGAAGCTCCATTGGTGCTATCCAGGACTATTAGTCCCATTTAGATGTTCTTCTCCTCATGTAACTGTGTCCCTCACTATCAATAGCTTCGTACAGGTCCTTTTTATTCTCTTGTGTTGCATGTAGATAACCAATATATGCCACGCAAAGCGAAAGAGTTATCAATCCGAAAGCCATTACAGGTTTGTTCTGCCAAAGACAAAAAATAAATAAATAAATAAATCCTCATTAAGACTAATAATTTGAGGAGACCCAAATATTTGTAGCACTTCCCCCTTGACATACCAAGTCTTTAATACCACACTAGCATTCCTGTGGTGATATTTTCCATTATAACAATTTACCTAGTTCCTTATTCAATTACTTCAGCTCCTGATCATTCAAAGATTATAGAAGACTCTTGCTTCTCTCTAGTCTTTCTCCTGTCTCCAACCTGGTTCTCATGCCTCCACCTTCAGGATCATGGTGGTTGGAAGAGAGGCGAAGGGAAATGAGGCATGGAAATGGATCTGGTGCTCAGAGTTTTTATTGTTATCTGGGTGACATGGAAAAGCTGCTTAACTTGCCTGAACCCAGCTTCCCCACAGGCAAAACTTCAATTAGTTAATCTTATTAGGAATAAAGTATACATGCTATTCTTCTTGCCTGAGTTCATGGATAACTTGCAAAAAGCCTTTCATTTTCATGTCATATATTAAGTGCAACAAAAATAACAATCTATACACTCTTCTCTGGGAACCTACTCTATAAGCTCAAGAAATTTAGTGACTGGGGCAGATACTATGCTGTTATAACCTTGATTAACTGCTAAAAATTCTAAGACCCTAAGAGACAAAGCAATATAACTTTGAAACTGGAAAAAAAAAATAGGCAAGATGTTCACAACTCCACAGAAATGTTTTGTCCCGTCTGTGGTATAACTCATATCTTCTTTTTTGTGCATTCACACTCAACAAATTAGCCTTTCGTAGGTCAGTGTGAGTGCACAGTAATTGTAATCAATACAACTTTCAATTAGTATTTTCTGCTTCTGTCATATCTGCTGTATTGCTATTTCAAATCTTAATCATCAAAAGAATAAAGGTCAAACTTTTTCACTTGGATGGACACACAAGAAAGGCCACAAGCTCAAAGCAGTTTGAATCTACAAATCTTGAAATGCACTTGGCAATTAAAACAACAAATCTGTTCAAAGGTTGTAAAACATTCTACCTTGACTTAATGATTTGATTGTTAAACTGACCTATTTAACTTTAAAACAGTTTACACTGGCAACTATGTTAATACTCTAACCAAATTCAATTCATTTAAATATATTGTGTAATAACTTGATTTCATTTACATTCATTTTAAAACAAATTTATCTTTATTTAAAAATAAAACTGGTCAAATATAGTCAATAATTTGCAACAAGAATATAAATGATTAGCTAACTCCTTTACAGTGTACAAGTGTCTGTTTTGTAACTTTTCATAATATTTGTAATATCCCTTAAGTAAAAATATAATAACAGCTGGAATTGTAGTCTCTAAGAATGACCAGATTTTTATTTTGTTTTGTTTCAAGGGAAGATCTTATTTACTTAATAGTACCTGATCAAATAACAAAAATTTCCTTCAAATTAGTACAACCATTAAAATAAAAGTTTAAATAGGAATTTGAGAAGTGATCTATTAAAGTGCGACTATATTGTGTTAAGGTTCTCAATACCCTCAAAATAACTAGTTTTACATATATATTCAGAAAAATAGCATTTAAAAAAATAGCATTTAAAATTTTTCTTCCACCTGCTTTTATTGAGAGGTCATTAGTCAATATGAAATTTTCATGATACAATCAAATGTTACAGGAAAATAAAAACTTCCTATTTCTGATAGCCTAACTAAACTGAACATAACATCTTATCCTAGATATATTTCTTACAGGCTTAATGAAGAGCTCTGGATTCACAGCTCGAAATAAGGTTGTTGTGCGGACTCCTCTAAGCCCTGGATTTTGAAAGTCTTTCTCTTGGGGTGGTTCCTTTTTAAAGCCGGGAGACTCAGGTGCTGAAGACATCTTCTTGACTAACGATGATTTATTACCTAAAAATAAAAAAATACTTTTTTTCATGACCATGTTTTTTGATAATGTTCTTTAAAAAATCATTCCGTACTCATTCATTTTTCTGAATTCTAGTCCAGATATATACCAAAAGTGATTACCAATTGTTTTATTACTTTATATATCATGTACTTTGTAAATGGTGCTTTAAATGTTGTTTAGTAAAACTTATTTTCTCATCTCTCAGAACAAACCAGTGAGGTGGGCAAAAGTTGTTTTCCTACTTTCACAGAAGCCTGGAGAATTATTCCTTGGTCTGAGTCACATCGTATCTTGTTATATGAAAGAGGTATTAAGGGTGGGAGGGGCAGTGGTTAATCCATATCCTTATTTCCTCACATTTTCACTCTTCCTCACCTTCCAACAGCTGAAAGGACGCTAGCATCCCTCAATTTCTCCCACAGCTTCCCCTCTGGCCTGTGCTTCTCAACAATCTGAATGCCTACCCAAGCATGAGCACCAAGCAGTAAGGCTAAGTAGTTATTTTCACTCCTCATTGGCATGTCAGTGACTTTCTGGGAAGGATTGTTCTGCTATCTCCTCAATCTGAATATCCTTCTTTCTCTAAATTACTCTAACTCTATCCTATTAAATCCAAATGTGTCTTTTAGCTTCTGGTTCTCCCAGCTAAAATGTCAACATTTTGTGAATATTCTTCTCTTCTAGGTACTAATAGGCAAAAGCTTATTCTTATCATTCCTGCCACCTAATGTTGGGGAGGAAGGGAAGGGTTGGAAGGGAAGAGGTAGGTAAAGAAACCTTTTAAAGGCTAAAATTAATGACAATATAATAAACTTCTCTGGGGAAATGCTGCAACCCTACTATATAGTACATGTTATGACACAAGAGTCCAACATTCATATTTAAGCACTCATTGTGGCTTTGTTCATACAGAGTCTTTAAGTCTTTCATTTTACAGATTTTATAAAAGCAATATTTTTGCAATTTCATTAAGTATGGAGAAAATTAGGAGTTCAGGTTTTTTTAAACTATTTTTTTAAGATTATATTTATTTATCTGTGAGAGAGAGAGAGAGAGCGCATGAGTGAGAGGGGCAGAGGGGGAGAGAGAGAACCAGACTGCCTCTTGAGCAGGGAGCCTGATGGAGGGCTTGATCCCAAGATCCTGATATCATGACCTGAGCTGAACAAGGCAGATACTTAACTGAATGAGCCACCCAGGTACCCCAGGGTTTTTTTTTTTTCAAAAACTATTTTTGTTGAAGTAGTTACTTCATCTATACCACTTAGATAAATACTTCATCAGAAACACCTACCTGAAGGGAAATTTTTATTTTTTTTTTGAAGGGATAGATTCTTAATGCTTCTTATATATACTTGCCGGGACTTCTGAAATGTTCACTGTCCCCTGTTCCATCATCTACTGAATATTATGGTTGTCACTGTCATCATCATCATCATCATCATCATCATCCACTTTGACATTAGTTAGCTCTTCTATAGCAATTTTAGGATTTGCTAACTCTTGGAAAATAGTTCAACTTGTTATCTCTAGCTACAAACTCTTTAAAATCAAACTGGTTTGAGAGACCAGTAACAACTGAGTACCAGACTATTTCAAATACCATGCTTGGTTTGCAGTCTTCTTCCTGGTTAACCTCAGGGGATTCCACAGGAATCATGTCTGTTTTCTGCCAAAATTTCACTATGTGGATGGCTCTACAGACCACCGGATCTCAGCAATCATATCAATAGCTAGCTTCATTCTATTTTCTGTTTTCTCTTCTAAATTTAGAATTGTTTCAGCAGTGCGCTTTCACTGTGAAAATTATACCCCCATCTGATAGCTTTATAATGGCTGTGCAGTTCAATGGGAAGAACTCAACACATGCACGATCCATGCATAGGGCTATGTTGTAGGCAGAGCAATTGTCTACCAGCAGGAGGATATCATGTTTTGCTCCTTTCATTCTCTTGCCAACATTACTGGGCCATTTGTTAAATAAACCTCTCATTTTTCAGGTACAGGTACTGGTTTGGTAACTACAGGGGAGCAAACAAACATTTTTTTAAAAAAAATATTTATTTATTTATTTATTTATTTATTTATTTATTTGGGACTTGATCCCGGGACTCCAGGATCGCGCCCTGGGCCAAAGGCAGGTGCTAAACCGCTGAGCCACCCAGGGATCCCCCAAACAAACATTTCTGAAGCACTGAGGGTAAACTGACTTGCCAATGACAAAGAGTGTCACCTTTCCTGTCCAAGATGCATTATAGCAGAATAGAGCAATGATCAATCTTTGTTTACTTCTTTTGCAAAGTCTACCTTGGCCATGAAGTATACATGAGGTAGCAACTCATAAACTTAATTAGCATTTCAAACATAATTCAAGCTGTAACTAGTAATTGTTTTTTTTTTTTAATTTCTCCTGTATGCAAGTTACTAATTTTTTCCACTGGAACTAGGTTTTTGTTTTTTTTTTTCACTACAGACAACTTCTAAAACAATTTCATAATGTGCCTGAAATTTGTGCAGCCATATACACTTGCTTGAAACTCATCTTGCCCAAGGCTAGCAAAAAAATCCACTGCTTTCTGCTGACCAAGAGGTCCACTTATGTGCCGTGCCCATGTCCTGCACTAACTTAAAAACATTCTTTTAAGTTTATTTAAGTAATCTCTACACCTAACATGGGGCTCAAACTCTGAGATATCAAAAGTCACCTGCTCTTCTAATGGAGCCAGCCAAGCACTGTGACCTGCACTAATTTCTTGATACCACACAAACATAGCTATTATAGGGAACTGGCATTTGTTTCTGCTTTAGGCCCAGAATCCCTTTAACTTCTCTTCATTTATGACCTAATCCCTCAATAACGTCAACAATATAAGGGGAAGGATTTCTTTGCTGCTACTCCTTTCTCATGGCAACAACCTACTCCTATTGCTTTCATTTCCTTCTATTAAAACTGCTAGCATTTCATCTTTCCCTCTCAGCCATGAGAGCAGGGTACTTGGCATGTACTAATGCCTTTAGAATTTAAGTGACAAATGTGGGTTACCAGATGCCTAAGCCTAGTGCCAGTGATGTTTCTACTTAACACGATTGACTGTAACAGGGAGAAAGAAAATTCAGAAAGAAGCAATCACTAAAGTGGAAGCAATAGTATAGTCTGTAAATCGGCTATGCCCATAATAAAAATGTGAGGCAGGAAATAGTTAATACAATAGTCATACTGTGAGGACTGAATCACAGCCTCAGAGTATACTGCTAATTGAAACTAAGGCATTAGATAAAAAATAGTAGGAAGGCCTGAAAAAGCAAATACACAAAGGTAGGTCATCTAACCATAAACTGACAAAGCAGCATTTTTCTTCAATTAATGAGAAACTGCTGCATATAATTAAAACAAAGATATCCAGTAGAATATGGTTTAAAATTGTTTACTGGGAAGAAAAACAAGATAATGGGGAAGGTGGGTACAGAGGGCACATACTGTAGAGCACAGAAGGGTTTTCAGACCACAGTTAATCACATACATTCTGCGTTGATAAAAATGTGCCAAGAATTGAGTATGGTTAACTCAGTCCTTACCTCAATTCCAAAAACAAGAGAGATTTCACCATTTCAAAATCAAAGGGATGCAAAAAGTTTTAAATTAACTCAAAGGGATTCAGTGATGTTAAATGTTGAAATTCAACCTATATGAAATGTCTACAAAAACTATGGACTAAGTGTTCTAACATGAATTGTAAGGACTTAATTTGTTTTTAAGTAGACTCTACACCCAGTGGGAAGCACAACACAAGAAGCCCAACCCCCAATGTGGGGAGCCCAACGTGGGGCTTGAACTCATGACCTCGATATCAAGATCAGAGATTAAAAGTTGAACATTTAATTGACTGAGCCACTCAGGCACCCCTATAAGGACTTAATTTTATTTGCAAGATTCCTTGGTCTCCTCTTTTCCTTAGTAGAACCTATGTTTTCTTTGTAATGAAGTAAATAACTAAGGCAGTATTTATTATACTGCAATCTCTAGACATCCATATTCACTTAATAATGCACTATTTATGTTAAACTTTTTACCAGGAATGACAAATACTTGAATTGGAAGCCACCAGAAATGTTTATTAAAGGGACATTTACAAATTAAGGGATTACCTACTGCACTATATTTAAAAGATTTCATATGCTACAGGGGCACCTGGGTGGCTCAGTGGCTGAGTGTCTGCCTTTGGCTTGGGTCATGATCCTGGGGTCCTGGGATTGAGTCCTGCATTGGGCTCCTTGCCGGGAGCCTGCTTCTTCCTCTGCCTATGTCTCTGCCTCTCTCTGTATCTCTCGTGAATAAATAAATAAAAATCTTTAAAAGAGAAAAAAGATTTCATATGCCACAATTTCCATTGCTTGTGATACTTTCAACAAAGTGTATAAGTAACATTTTCCATTATATATCAGTCTTTCATAAGATGTGGTATGAGACAGTTCAATTTTATTGCTTTTTAAAATATTTTATTTGAGAGAGTCAGAGAAGGAGCAGAGGGAGAGGGACAAGCAGATTCTACACACTGAGTAAGGAGCCCAAATTGGAGTTTAGTCTCATGACCCTGAGATCATGACCGGAGCCCAAATCAAGAGTTGGATGCTCAACCGACTGAGGCACCCAAGTTCCCCATTGCTGCTTTTTTTTATGAGCCACAGTCACTGAAGATGTTATAATAGTTCTCCCCAAAATTACATGAATTTGTTTATACAATCTATTGAACAAAGAATCTTAACATATACTTTGAATAAAAAATGTAGATTACTGAGTCTAAAAAGGGCTTTAGTAGCCAAAAATGTTATATATAAGACACAAAACAATACAGTATCTTGTCATGTAGAAAGTTCTTTTGAATCTCTTCACATGCCTGGCCCACAGAGCTATAGATATATGGCTGGAGCAGAAATTAAAAATGTGTTGGTTGGATAAATATATAGAGAGAGTGCAAAACCTTGAGTGTTTTGTTCACAGTCAAAATTTGAGGGGAAAACAAATATCTACATCAAAAGTAAACTTTTGGGCAGACCCGGTGGCTCAGCGGTTTAGCACCGCCTTCAGCCCAGGGCATGATCCTGGAGACCCAGGATCGAGTCCCACGTCAGGCTCCCTGCATGGAGCCTGTGTCTCCCTCTGCCTGTGTCTCTGCCTCTCTCTCTCTGTATCTCTCATTAATAAATAAATAAATAAATAAATAAATAAATAAATAAATAAATAAATAAATCTTAAAAAAAAAGAAACTTTATGATACTTATTTTTTTTAAAAAAAGTAAACTTTTAATCTAGAAGTGAAAGCTGACTAGCTATTTTCAACTGCAGAGGTAATGTAAATTCCATTTGTAAAAGCTGCTGAACTAATCATAAATTCAAAGCACACCAGTAATCTGACATCACTACTCAAATGAACTGTACCTAAGACAAAAACATCTATTTAACATCTAGCACACTTCCTCCAGAACTTGTCCTCCGTCACTTTGTCCAATTTTCTCCCTTACTCTTGTTTCCCACTGCAAGCACTTACTTATATTTGCATATGATATTGACCAATCTCTACTTCAACTCACTTTTAAAGATAGATTTATTTTTAAGCTAGGGAAAAACTTCTCATTTATTGTGTTAAAAAGGAAATCACACAAAACAAACACACACAGTCTGGCAGGGATGATGGAAACTTGGCATTGCTCTGCTCCTAGCTAAGACTAAGTGATTAGTATGTGTGTGGGCCCACTTGCAAAATACTCAATAAATCAGGTATCCAAGAGGCCACCCCTGTCTGATGCAATCTGTCCTGGAGCCCTTCTTGTATTTCTTTTCCATTTTTCCATCACTCGTTTCTTGTTCCTTTATTGACAAATGATACGAAACTGTCGTTTATATATTTTTTAAGGGTAAGATTTTTCATACCTACCTGTAAATAAAAATTATCTAAATTAAGCTCTATTTACTTCCTATGTCTCTCCCTGGTAAAAAGTTCACCTTTTTCTTCTGTCCATCCTCTTGTGAAGGAAATATGTGATGGGAAAAGGAAGCTGCAGTGATAAAGGATGCCTCCTTACACAGCTCCATGAGGGTCATTCACACCTCAAAGTGTGAGAATAGCGCCCTCCTGGAATTAATAATACACAATGTGTGAGGCTGTACGAGATAGTCTTAGACAGTCAGAACTGGTCATTTTTTGATAATTTTCCCTCCTTCACTAAAATTCTCGGTCAGGGGGATGATCCAGAAAGTATTTGGCAACGGGTATTAAACAACTCATTGACATAAAATTGGCATGACTATATCATGTTGTACATGGAAATCAGACCAAGACAAAAAGACTATGAGTTACTTTGGCGAAAAATTTAATCTTCGGATATTCATTTTTGAAATCAGTATCTCAATACAGGATGTCAAAACAAAATTACTAGAATTATAGAATGTTAGAGAGAAGGAACCTTAGCAATAATCAAAGCCTTTAAGACTTAAGGAATTATAAAATGGACAAACTATTTTAGTGAGATATAAAATATACTTGTTATTTTAGTTTCACTTACCACAGTATCTTGATATTTAAGAAAATAATTTGAAGTCTGGGACAGAACACCTGTAAAATAATTTAAATTAGAATAAGCAAGTTTGGGATAGAATAAGGGTTTTACGCCTTGAGGGAATTCAGCATAGCCTCAAATTCCAACTTTGCTACTCATAAGCTGGAGCTCTTGGAATAAGTGACAACCTCTGTGGGCCTCAGTCTCCACCCAGAGGGGTAATGTTACCTACTGCATGGAACAGCTGTGTGGATTAAGTGAGATCACACTTTTAAAAGGATATAACAGAAAAAAAAAAACAAAAAACGATATAATAGATGTTCAATGTTAACAGCTATTGTCATACCATCTAGTCAAATTCTTTTCTTTCTTTTTTTTTTAAGATTTTATTTATTTATTCATGAGACGGAGAAGAGAGAGAGAGGCAGAGACACAGGCAGAGGGAGGAGCAGGCTCCATGCAGGGAGCCCGACATGGGACTCGATCCGGGGCCTCCAGGATCACGCCCTGGGCGAAGGCGGCGCTAAACCGCTGGGCCACCCGGGCTGCCCCAATTCCCTTTTTTAAACAGAGAAACCTAGACCCAAAGAGATTGTCTTTGCCAATGGGAGTGAGATAATCCAGGCCTCTCCATTTCCAGCTCACCCCTAATCCACTACTTCACCCACACAGTACTCCAAAATCGGTAAGATGCTGCATTTACACGTTATCACCAGAATCAGGAAACCTAAAATTGTAAACACTTGAATTTTCTAAATGGATTCTGTATTTCTTGTTTTTGATGTAAAACAAAAAACAAAACAAAACAAAAAAAACACCTACTTTTAAAAGTGTCTTTCCATTTCTTGAACTTACTGTACCTGAGTAAGGGAGAAAGATGTTGGGGGCAGCTCCAGGGCCCCAGCGGTTTAGTGCTGCCGCCTTCGGCCCAGGGTGTGATCCTGGAGTCCCGGGATCGAGTCCCACGTCCGGCTCCCTGCATGGAGCCTGCTTCTCCCTCTGCCTGTGTCTCTGCCTCTCTCTCTAATAAATAAATAAATAAATAATCTTAAAAAGGGGGGGGGGGCAGAAAGATGTTCAGAGCGGCTGTTACAGACAGTCCGAGGGCCGTAAAGTACGACTGAGGTCTACTTAGGTCTACTCCCGTCTCCGTGTGCAGCGGCTATTACTCAGACAGATGCACGTGGAGTGAAGCCTCCAGAAAAAGAAACTGCATTCAACCAAGTTCCAGACGCTGTGCTGCAAGGACAGCACGTGACAGCGTTTCCCCCTAAGTAAGAGTTTGGTGAGCTGGGACACCACGATAGTGTCCAGGATGTGGGGATGTGGGAGGGGGTCCATGACCAGGCCGGGATCCTGGCACCGGAGGGGGCTCCCCCGGACGGCTTGGGGCCCCCACGAGCGGCGAGGCTCCGACGCACCTGGGAGTCAGGCCTGCAGGGCCACCGGCCCTCCAAGGTCAGGGACCAGAGAGCGTGGTGGGGCGGCCGCGCCGAGCCCCGCGTCACCTGCCAGCAGCCGCCGCTCACCTGCCGCGAGGTCACCTCCGGCGCCGCCTCCCAGCTCCGCCTCGTCTCCGCCTGCGGGACAGAGCGGCCCGGCGCGCAGCCTGCTCGGCGCCACAGCGGCCCCTACAGCTGGGAGGCTGCGACGCAGGGGCGCGCGGGGCGCGGGACCCAGGCCTGCGGCTCGGTGAGTCCCAGGGGGGCGCGCCCACGGACTCCCCTGCAGGGGAACTGCAGGGGGCATGTTTAGTTTCTTCCTTTCTTACCTTTAGTTTATCAGCCTCCCAAGGTTCTAATCTTGTGTGCCTGTGTTTTGTATGAATAAAAGGAGACATCGCCTAGAAATCTATATATATTTATTTGCTGGAAAGAAAGTATTCTGAGATGGGAAAGGAGGCTGGGATTTGGTGTCCTCCTGGCCCGATTGGATTTTAAACGCACAGTCACATGTGCAGTTAATGCTCTGTCATTCTATTAGTGCCTTGACATTGCAAGATGCAAGGTGTGTGGAGCTGTGGTGTGATAAGAATAGATAGGGTCGCTGACTTGTACATACTTTGCTGATGTTAAATTTGTTGGGGGGCCCCGTCGCAACCATGGCTGAAGAACAACCTCAGGTTGAACTGTTCGTGAAGGCCGGCAGCGATGGGGCCAAGATTGGGAACTGCGCCTTCTCCCAGAGACGGTTCATGGTACTCTGGCTCAGAGGAGTCACCTTCAGCGTAACCACTGTTGACACCAAGAGGCCGACCGAGTCAGTACAGAAGCTGTGGCCAGGAGGGCAGCTCCCATTCCTTCTGTAGGGCACTGAAGTGCACACAGGCGCCAAGATTGAGGAGTTTCTGGAGGCAGTGCTGTGCCCTCCCACGTACCCCAAGCTGGCAGCTCTGGACCCTGAATCCAACACGGCTGGCGGGGACATATTTGCCAAATTTTCTGCTTACATCAAGAATTCAAACCCGGCACTCAAGGATAATCTGGAGAAGGGGCTCATGAAAGCCCTGAAAGTTTTAGACAATTACTTGACATCCCCCCTCCCAGAAGAAGTGGATGAGACCAGTGCTGAGGATGAGGGCATCTCACAGAGGAAGTTTCTGGATGGCAATGAGCTCACTCTGGCTGGCTGCAACCTCTTGCCGAAACTCCACATAGTACACGTGGTGTGTAAGAAATGGGATCCCCGGGTGGCGCAGCGGTTTGGCGCCTGCCTTTGGCCCAGGGCAATCCTAGAGACCCGGGATCGGATCCCACGTCGGGCTCCCGGTGCATGGAGCCTGCTTCTCCCTCTGCCTGTGTCTCTGCCTCTCTCCCTCTCTCTCTCTCTCTGTGTGACTATCATAAATAAAAGGAAAATTTTTTCAAGAAATACAGGGTACTCTCCATCCCAGGGGTGTTCCGCGGAGCGCATCGGTACTTGCGTCATGCCTATGCTCGGGAAGAGTTTGCCTCCACCTGTCCAGATGATGAGGGGATCGAGCTGGCTTATGAGCAAGTGGCCAAGGCCCTCAAGTAAGTCCCTCCTGAGGCTCCGTCTCCCCTCTCCACTTTCTCCACAAAGACACCAGCCGGTTTTCACGTGGCTACCCAAAGGACACACTTCAAAATGGCCAGTGGGCAGAGAATCCTGAAGCGCTTGTACAGGGCTGGCTGGGGGGCTGGAGGGGCTGATGGGGAATCTAGGTAAGATTTTTATTGTGGGCTGGTGCGGGTAGGACAGTGTATTTCAGTAATAAAATACAGATTGGAAAAATAAAGAAATAAAAAATAAATGAATTTGTTGGGGGCAGCCCGGGTGGCTCAGCGGTTTAGCGCCGCCTTCGGCCTGGGGCCTGATCCTGGAGACTCGGGATCAAGTCCCACGTCGGGCTCCCTGCATGGAGCCTGCTTCTCTCTCTCTCTCTCTCTCTCTCTCTCTAATAAATAAATAAAATATTAAAGTACATACTTTCCTGATGTTAAAGTTTGTTGGTATACCAGTTGCATGAGTGGGTGCCTGGGTGTACCGTTGGTTAAAGTTCTGACTCTTGATCTCAGCCCAGATCTTGATCTCAGGGTCATAGTTCAAGCCCCATATTGGGCTCTGTGCTGGGCCTGGAACCTATTTTTTAAAATGACAGTAATTTAAAAAATACAACAATTTTAAAAATTAATAAAACAAACAAAATAGAATAGCAGGTGCCCAGATTTGGGTATGGATTTGTGTTAAAGTTTGGGCAAATGAATTTTGAATTTAAACTTGTTCATTCGAGCCAAATTGATTTTTTTATTTGACTTGAGGTTTAATTTCTAAAAGTTCATCAGCATCTGGTATTACTAGACAGTCTTCTGACAAAATAAGTTAAATTTTAATTAAAAAGCTGTTTGTGACATAAAAAGATGCTCATTATCACAAATCATTGGGGAAATGCAGATCAAAATCAAAATGAGATATCATCTCACACCTGTTGGAATGACTATCGTCAAAAAAGACAAGAGATAAGTGTTGACGAGGATGTGGACAAAAGAGAATGCTTGTGCACTGTTGGTGGGAATGTAAATTGGTGCGACCACTATTGAAAACAGTATGGAAAAAAAAAAGAAAACAGTATGGAGGTTCCTCAAAAAATTAAAAATAAAAATACCACATAATCCAGGAATTCTACTTTCAGAAACATATCCAAAGTAAATGAAATTACTATCTCAAAAAGATATCTGCATGCCATTATGTTCATGTGCAGCATTTTTACAATAGCCAAAATATGAAAACAACCTAAGTGTCTGTCAATGGGTGAATGGATAAAGAAGATGTAGTATATATGTACAATGGAATACCATTTAGCCCTGAGAAAGAAGAATATCCTGCTGTTTGTGACAATGTGGATGGATCTTGAGGCCATGATACTAAGCATAGTAAGTTAGACAAAGACAAATAACAGTATATCATGCAGAATCTAAAAAAGACAAATGCATGGAAATAGAGACTAGAATGCCGGTTACCAGGAATTAAGGGCATAGGAGACATGGGGAGATATTGGTCAAAGATTATAAACTTCCAGTTAGAAGGTGAATAGTTTCTGAAGATCTAAAGCACAGCATAGTGATTACAGTTAATAATACTGTAGTTTATACCTGACAGTTGCTAAGAGTAGATTTTAAATATTCTCACCAGGGACACCTGGGTGGCTCTGTGATTAAGCATCTGCCTTAGGCTCAGGGCATGATCCTGGAGTCCCAGGAATGAGTCCCACATTGGGCTCCCTGCATGGAGCCTGCTTCTCCCTCTGCCTGGGTCTCTGCCTCTCTCTCTCTCTCTCTCTCTCTCTCTGTGTGTGTGTGTGTCTTTCATGAATAAATAAATAAAATCTTTAAAATAAATAAATATTCTCTCTCTCTCACACACACACACACCAAAAAACTAGCTGATACCGTGGTGGTTATCAGCTTGCAATATATATGTGTGTTAAATCAAGACATTGTACAACTCAAACTTGCACAATGTTATCCGTCAATTATATTTTAGTAAAACTGGAGTGGGGGGGGGAAGTTGCCCACAAAATCAGCCAAAGGATCTACATACCAAACACAATATCAAACTTCCAGATGATGTTCAAAATTTTCTTAAAGAAAAGAAAAAGTTATTTGTGGAGTTGCCACAGAACAAATGAAAGACTACAAAACGTTCTTGTGCTGCATTATCAACATACCTGTATTTTCTTCTTATCCCTTAGGGTTCTCCTACCTAATCAGTAAAATGCCAAGTATCATTATGGAAACCAAACTACCTTTATGGGCCACCTGCGTGGTTCAGTCGGTTAAGCATCTGCCTTCTCCTCAGGTCAAGATCTGAGTATCCTGGGACAGAGGCTTTTCAGGCTCCCTCGGCAGCAGGGAGTCTGTTTTCTCTCTCTGCCCCTCCCTCCCTGCTCCTCCTCCTCTCTCTCTCAAATAAATAAATAAAATATTTTTTAAAAAAAGTACCTTTCGTGTCATGATCAATCCAGACTAATCAGGTGAAAGAATATGAAACTTAAGAATGTGTAAAACGAGCGTACACTGTAGGTAAAGACAATAGAGAAAAGCCTAAAGGCTTTGCCAAAGTCATGGATATGAAAGCAATGAAAGTGATGTGAATAAACAAGAGTTCTTCCCATTTTATCATGCTTTTAAGAAATCACTTTGAAGAATGAGGTCAGTCTGAAATCAGCTTTTATAATCATTTTAAACAGAACCATCAATACTTAATAATATTTAACAGGAGATTTGGTATTTGCTAGAATTAGAGATTTTATATTTGATGGGATTAGCTGTATAAAACAAAAGTTCATCTTTATGAAAATGCGTTCAAATTTTCAAAATATACCTGCTTCCATTAGGAAGTTCATCAAGTGAACTCCATTAGGAGTTCATCAAGTGTGTCCCAGGGACAATACTGGTGATCTGTGAACCTTCTCAGGGGAATCTCTGATGTGCTGGTTCTTTTCTTTTCAGGCATGAATTAATAGTTGACTTACAATATTTAATAAAAATCAAACATTAATTTGGTGCTGTTTAATCAAAAGCAGGGTTTGTTTTTTTGTTGTTGCTGTTGTTTTTATAAGATAAATGCTGGCTTATTTTCCCCAGCATTAAGCCAAGACAAAGTAGGTAATATAATTAATGTGGGCCATGGGGTACATGACTCCATTGAATGAATTATTAGCTGACAAACTGGGAAAAATTAAGCACGTATGATATAAAATAATCCCGGGGTACCTGGGTGGCTCAGTGGTTGAGCATCTACCTTCGGCTCAGGGCATGATCCCGGGGTCCTGGGATTGAGTCCCACATCAGGCTCCCCGCAAGGAGACTGCTTCTCCTCTGCCTATGTCTCTGCCTCTCTCTTTGTGACTCTCATGAATAAATAAAATCGTTAAAAATTAATAATAATAATCATCCCAATTTTCCACTGCTCTATACCCTCCCCCTCGCTCCTGTGTCCACTCCCACTCTGATTCTGGAATTGGGCTTATGACTTATTTTGGGTAATATGATATTAACAA